AATTAGATAAATTCCCAGCAGTATTTAACAAGTATGTAATAAGGGCATGTTCTACCATGAAGGCCATGCAGTGGTTAAAAGGAATAGTAAATCTCTGACTACTGTCCTGAAATGATCATGAGCCAGAAAAAGATAAAGCTTTATGTTTCCTGTAGAAAATTATTTTTACAATAAAATGTTATTTGTCCAATTATTGAAATAAAAAAGATAAGACAACAGAAACATCATGCCAGAACACTTGAAAAAAATATAAACAGGGGTTAAAAAAATTTAAGAACATTAAAGTGATATAAAAAGAAGTCTGGGGAACCAGCAGTTAGCGTAATGGCTATATCGCTGGACTCCCACTTAGTCGACCGCGGTTCGTGTCCCGGACCCGGTGACTTAAAACTCACGCCAGGCGCGTGTGCGTGTGTGCCCATGATCCTGAGAGGAGAATGGAGGAGAAGGGATTGCGGCGTGACAATCCCCCCTGGGGGTGATTTCTCACTTTCTGTCTCTATGTCTCTCTCTGTCTGTCTGGCGAGCGCACGCGCCCTATAGTGAAAAAATCTCTCTCAAAAAAAAAAAAAAAGTCTGAAAATTCAACTGGCACATTCTGTTAGAATGTTGCTTTGAGGAAGGCATCACTGACATTGAAATGAACTGTGAACATCACCATGAACATAACTATCCCATCCTAATCAATTAATCAAACCTATGTGCTCCTGACAGTGGATTCAAAATCTCATTCTCATACACACAAGTCATTGACTAATTCATAGGAAACAGAAATAAATATCTATTAAAAACTGACAAGTTAGGGACCAGCAGATGGCATGGTGCTTAAGGTGATTGGATCCCATATAACCCACTCCATAATTCAAGTCCTGAACCCAGTGGCTTAAAAATCATGCAAGGTGTGTGTATGTGTGTGTGTGCGTGCGTGTGCTCAAAATTCTGAGAGGAAGATGGAAGAGAAAGGTTTGAGGTGTAGCCATTCCCCAGGGGGTGATTTCTCACTTTCTTTCTCTCTCTCTGTCTCTCTCTCTCTCGTGCACACATGTGCTCCATGGCAAAAACTAAAAAGTGAGGACCAGTTCACTCCCTATACTTCCCCTACGCCAATCACCATGAATTATCAACAACACTGAGGGGGGAGTGCATTAATGGAATGCTACCAAGATGACATGGCCAAAAACTGAAATTAAAAAGACATAATTATTATGTTGATTCTGCCAATCCAGGAACATAGAAAAAAACGTCCTTCCACTTTTTAGTGTCCTTTTCAATTTCCTTTTAAGGTTTTCATAGTTTTCCTTGTAGAGGTCTTAATCCTACCCAAATTAATCTATGTGTTTAATACAATCTTGATAAAATTATAAGAGACATTCTTCACAGATCTAGAAAAGACAATCATAGAATTTGTCTGGAACCATAAAAGACCCCATATTGCTAAAGCCATTGCATGCAAAAAAGACTGGATTAGGTGGCATCTCACTTCCTGACCCCAGAATATATTACAAAGCTGTGATCATCAAAACAGCATGGTATTGGCACAAAAATAGACATGAGGACCAACAGAACAGAGTAGAGACTACAGAAATAAACCCCAATATATACAGTCAACCCATCTTTGACAAAGGGTACCAGTCAATCCAGTGCAATTAGGGAAACTTCTTTAGCAAGTGGTGTTGGAAAAACTGGGTATCCACCTACAGAAAGATGAATCTGAACCCCTATCTGTCACCATTAACAAAAATCAACTCACAGTGGATCAAAGATCTAAACTTAAGGCCAGAAACTATAAGACTACTGGTGGTAAACACTGGGGAAACTCTGGGAGACACTGGGGTAGGCAACAACTTCTTAAGCAAGACCCCCAAAGTACAAGCAATAACCCCCCAAATAGACAGGAGGATTACATCAGATTAAGGAGTTTCTGCACAGCAAAGGACACTGTAATTAGTGTAAATCAACAACCCTCAGAATGGGAGAGAATTTTTGTTAACTGTGCCTCAGATAAGGGACTGATAACCAGAATACACAGGGAATTCAAGCAGCTTATCCAGAAGAAAATTATTAACTGAATTAAAAGAAGGGAAAATGAGCTGAATAAACAACTCTCTAAGAAAGGCATACAAACAGCCAAAAAGCATATGAAAAAATGCTCAACATACATTGTGAAGGAGATGCAGATCAAAACCACAATGAGATACCACCTAACCCCAGTCAGAATGGCAAAGATTAAAAAAATAATAATGATAATGATAAGTGCTGGAGGGGATGTTGCAAAAGAGGAACACTCCTACACTGTTGGTAGGAATGTAAATTGG